ATTTATGGATGCTATGGATGATGTTTGAGTTCTGTTTCAAAATAACCTAGTATGGGAGTACTGAAGTATGTATGGGGGTAAAAATGAAAGAAGATTAGCCTTGTGTTGATAATTATTGAAGCTGGGTAATGGGCAGCATATTATCTTTGTCTCTAGGTTTGAAATTCTTCATAATCAAAAGGTAAAAAAAGAAACCACTATTTTGTAACTGTAGTGAAATAAGGGATATAGGAAATAAACATAAATGAATTTTAAAATCCATTAGGAGAAAGACTAGTGGGGAATTTTATTATGGGGGAATCAGGACAATAATACCTGAACCCAACAATCAGTAACCAGACCACTTTGTGCCCCTTGAGGTGATATAATTAATAGGAACTATACAAATTACCTATGAGGTAATTTTTACTAAAAATTTGAACCAGAAACTAATCAACCCTCCAGCTCCAATTGCCATTTTCATAGGATATATGATGAATAGAGAAATCATCTAAACTAGGATACCATAAGAAAAATATCAACCAAATCCAGAATATGGAAGATGCTTATAGAACAAATGTCTCAGGTTGTTTTGTTTTTTCAAAAAATAAATCACAAGAAAAAGAGTAACATTTAAAAAGATTCAAAAATACTTAAAATATATAAGAACCATTACAATGTACAAACCTTGTTGGGTTTTTTTGTTGTATTTATTTTTTATCCTCACCTGAGGACTTTTTTTTTGCATTTATCTTCAGATAGAGCTGGAGGAAGAGAGGGAGGAAGAGAGAGAGAGAGAAACATTGATGTGAGAGAAACATACTGACTAGTTGCCACCCACACAACCCGAACCGGGGCCGGGGACAAACTGCAACCAAGGTAAGTGCCCTTAGCAGGAACCAAACCTGGAACTCTGGTCCACAGGCTGACGCTCTAACCACTGAACCAAACCGGACAGGGCCAAACCTTGTTTTTTAATAAGCTAACTATAAAAGGATATTTTGAAATAACGATGGAAATAGGAATATAAACTGGGTGAAAGATATTCTTAAGGAATTACTATTAATTTTGCAAGGTATAATGACACTATAATTAGCAAAGAAGTCCTTATTTATTAGAAATGCATACTAAAGAATATTCTGATTAAATGACATGTCTGGGACTTATAAAATATTCCAGGAAAAAATATATAGGTACACACACACACAGTCACATGCTGCTTAATTATGAGGGTACATTCTCAGAAATGTGTTATTAGGTGACTGTCTTTGTGCAAACATATTAGACTACACTTACACAAAACTAGATGGTATAACCTACTACACACCTAGACTATGTGGTATAGCCTGTTGCTCCTAGGCTACAGGCCTAGACAGCATGTTATTGTCCAAAACAACATGAGATTAAATCAAGTGCAAGAAAAAAAATGCTGCAATCAAGAGACAAAGTAAACATGAAATGTATGAAGCTACGGCTGGCATAACACGGCATACTGTCTTACAGCAAACTTTTCTTTTTTTCCACTAGTAGAAGAGTACACTAAAAAATACAGATAAAAAAGCCCTGGCCGGTTTGGGTCAACGGTTGGAGTGTCAGCCTGCGGTCCAGAGAGACCCGGGTTCGGTTCCCACTAAGGGCGCGTACCTCGGTTGCAGTTTGTCCCCGGCCCTGGTTGGTCATGTGGGGTGGCAGCCACTCGATGTGTCCCTTTCACGATGTGTCCCTTTCACGTGGATGTTTCTCTCTCTCTCTCTTTCTCTCTTCTCTCCCTCCCTCCCACTCTATCTGAACAAAAAATGAAAAAATGTCCTAGAATGAGGATAAAATAAAATAAAATAAAATACAGATAAAAGTATAGTAAATGTATAAACCAATAACATAGTTGATCATGATTATGTATTATGCACTGTACATAATTGTGTTATTCTTTTATAAGAACCACAGCATAATAGGTTTGTTTACACCAGTATCACCACAAACCCATGCACAATGGGTTTGCACTATGATGTTATGATGGCTACATCACGAGGCAACGGGAATTTTTCAGCTCCATTGTAGTCTTATGGGACCCCCATTGTTGAGAAAAATGTCAATATGTGGGGCATGACTACACACATACACCTACACATAAATATACGTGTGTGTAAATAAATAAATAAATAAATAAATAAATAAATAATAAAGCAAAACGTTAATAATTGTTGAAGCTGGGTGACGGCAACATGGGAGTTCGTGAAATTATTTTCTCTACTTATATGTTTGAAAATTTTCATAATAAAAGGTAAAAAAGGAAGGAATAAGGGAAGGGGAAGGAGGGAGGGACGGAAGAAAGGAGTAGATTAAAGCCAGATCAGTAAGTAAACCTGCAGAATGTAAGCTATGAAAGTTCCTAATGCCCAGAAGCCCTGTCTTTTAGGCCATGGAAATAATCAGACTTAGAAGTGTCCTAACAATAATAATGGAATAATCTATGTCCAAATTAGCAAACCTCCCCCAAAACCTGACTTCTAGCAGCATGCCTACTGAGTTTGCCTTCGCAGGAAGTATGTTCCTTCCTTTCCCATCTGTAGCATCTGTTTCTTTCATCTCCTGTCTGAGATGGCCTGAAGGAGATTGGGTCAAGCTGGCTAGGTCCATGACCAGGTAGCCAGTTGTCCCTATAAATTCATCTGGACTGGTGTTGACAGCAGTTTGTAATAAATAATTCATCTTTGCTCATGAGAATTCATCAAGAAACAGCAGGCCAAATACTGTAACTATGATAAATCGAAACTTTCAGGACTCATTACTATCCCCCAACAATCTGGAAGGTTTAGTAAGTAGTGGTACTTGCAGTATACATTCTATATATTAAAAGAAGGTCACAGGGGATGATTCAAACCTCTGCTTCCTCCATTAGGAGAATCATTTTAAAAGATGACTTGCCCTAATATCATGAGCATTAATCTCCATGAAGGTCTGTAGCTGTAATAGGAACACTGGGATACGAAAGTTCCCAACATCTATGAGAGAGGAAATAGCAGTAGGTTAGGATAAACAGGCTCCACTTCAAACAACTGGCATATAAGGGCCATCTCCTCTCCTTGGACACCAAAGTCTTCTTCCTTCAGCATCATATTAGTCAGGCAAAATAACCAAAAGTTACTGCTAGTTCCTGTGTAGCTTCACAGCAATCATATACTCTTAGAAGTATAGCTCTATGTTTTGAATGTCTGGTTTTCCTCTGCATGGGCTAAGGCAGCCTTAGTGGGATCACTGGTATGTGGGTAGATTCTTCGGGGCCTGACCGTATCAGGGCTAAATTGTTTCTGCAGTGAATGGAAAAATGTAGCTGAGGAGAGAAGCCTAGACTTAGCTGCAGCACAAAAGCAGTCAGACCTAAGATGTGAATATAAAGCTGCTAACAAATGATTAGGTAGAGTACAAAAGCTGAAAGTATCAGAAACTGATCAGAAAATAGAAATGTTGAAGGCCCAGGCTAGGATGCTGAAAACTGGTGTTTAGCAGGTGATGGCCAAGCTAAGTCAATTGGTTTAAAGGTACAGAATTGGGCCAAACATAACAATGTATTTTTCTAATACAGGATATTAGCTGTGGCACTGGCTACCTTTATACATTCTAATTTGAAAAAAAAAAAGGTATAGAAAGCCTGCCATGACGACAATTGTACTTCACAAAGAGGATAAATTCCTAAATGGCCATTCTTTTCCATTCAAATAATGTTATCATCTCCCAAAGAACAGTTTTGGGGCAGGAAAGAACAGTATTCCATTTCGAGCTGGACTACTCATCTACCAAAATACCATTCTGACCAGAGAAACAGATGCAGAATTACAGTCACAGCTGCATTCTGTACAGAGCAAGTTGGATAATGGTACTCTAAATTGCTAATTACACTGCTAATGATTTTTTTAGTGGCACTGCAGTATTTTGCCACCTTTGTTTAAATTTTTTAAAAAAAGCACCTAGGAACTTTTAAAAATAGTAAACTGTTAAATACCAATGAGTCTTCCAAAAAAAGAATTCCATATAAAACCACTTCTTGAAATGGCATTCTCATGGGGGATTTTGTAGAAGCCAATTTATTGACTAGCTATTTGTTTTAATTTACTTTCTCACCAATTTACTTGCATTTAAGATTACTGAGGCCATACGTACCTCAGTATTAGTGTTTGTATCTAGATCCATATCGGTATGAAAAGATAATAAACAAACATATGTCATGATATGCTGGCATTGGGAATGTGCTATGGCAAGATTTTTAAAAAGTAATAGCACCGGTACAATTTTATTTTTATTGTGATAAGCAGGGTGACATTTATTAGTGTTAGTATTTCATTGTTTAATCATGCCAGCTAGCTGAAAAGGTAATTACATTTTTGATATTAAAATGCTGTTAATGGCCCTGGCTGAGCGGTTAGAGCATTGACCTGCAGACCAAAGAGTTGAGGGTTTGATTCCAGTAAAGGGCACATACCTTGGTTGCAGTTCGTCCCCGGCCCTGGTCAGGCTCATACGTGAGGCAACTAGTTGATATGCCCCTCTCACATCGATGTTTCTCTCTCTCCGTCCCCTCCCAGTCTATCTAAAGATAAACAGAAAAATATCCTCAGGTGAGGATTAAAAAATATAATAATAAAATAAATAAAATGCTGTTAATGTTTTTATTTCAGATATTATAGAAGTTATAGAATGCAGATCAAAACACTGCCATTGTCCCATATTGTTTCTTGTGCATTTAAGTGGCAGAATATTTTCTCTACAAATAATGAATTAATTTCTACTAAATTATTTCATAATGCTTCTAAATAATTTGCCTCTTAAATGAAAACCTCAAGCTGGCTCAGAATCCATATATTAGATTTACAAAAATATATTATATGCAGAAAATAATGTACCAATCACAATTATGTCAAAATGTTTTTTGATAATTTTTATATTTAGTAAGGTAAATTAGCTGTTAAAAAAAATTAAGAACATAATTTTACTATGCAATTACAAACTCATAAGGAAATACTTACATTTGCTTCTGACAGATAATCCAATTTCAGTGATCTTTTAACACTACAAACAAAATATTTAAGAAATCTTAGATTTGATATGCTTTAAGTAGCCAAATATTTAAGAGTAAAATATATAAAGATTCTAAGTTACTTTCACCAAGTAAAATATCACAATAAATCAATTTCACAATGATGAAATGTTTTTTACATAGAATATTTCAAGATAGAATCATAATTAAATATTTAAGTGGATCTTTTTATGCATGTGATTTTATATATGTACTATCATATAATTTAATCACTAGTCATATTATAAAATAATCTTAGCAAAAAGTACTATTTGTGTGTTTTAAAATACTACTAATAAAATTATACATAAGAGCAAAATAATTTACATCAGTGGAGATACTGAAAGTATATTATTTGCACAAATAATGCATTAGGTATTAAAATAAAGGTATGAGCAGCCTGGCCAGTGAGCAGTGGTTAGAGCGCTGGCCCGCCCACTGAAGGGTCTTGGGTTTGATTCCCAGTCAAGGGCACATACCTAGGTTGCAGTTCAACCCCCTGCCCCAGTCAGGGTGCGTGAAGGAGGTAACCAATCGATGTGTCTCTCTCACACTGATGTTTCTCTTTCTCTCCCCCTTCCTCCCTCCCTCCCTTTTACTCCCTCTAAAGATTAAAGGAAAAAATATATCCTCGGTTAAGGATTAACAACAACAACAAAAAAACACAAATAAAAATAATAAAGGTATGAGCAAAGTGAAAAAAGTTTTCCACATTTTTGTAGCTTTAAACATGATTCAGTGCTACTAGACTATGACTTAACTGAGGAACAGATGTTCTATGTCTTTATAAGTCCCCAATCCATATAAAACTATTTTTTGTCTCCTTCACTAAACTGATTCAGGAACATGCCTGGCTCTCTCTGTGCAAAATCTGTTCTGCTAAACTGGATGCCCAGCTGTTGGTGACAATGCTTAGAAAGGAAAGCTGAATATTTATAATACTTTATTTCATACAGCTGTCTTCTAAAGAGCAGTCATCAACATTTTATTGAATGCAGTCTAAATGCTCAAAGGAGAAAAAGGTCAATATAAATTAAAACTAGTTTTCCCTGTGTCAAATACAGAGTTATAAGTACTTTCTTGATCCCTAAGAAATAGAAATTGTTATTTAAAATATTAGAGAACGTGTGCATTAGGCAAAAAAATAAGATATTATAAATAAAGTTTGCAGTATAGAAAACAAATAAAAAGCTTATACATCCTAGAAATGACTATTCATAAATAACTGATTACTGACTTTCAAACAAATGATAGGAGAAAAATAAAAGGGATAGACAGTTTATAGAAATTACTGTGCAGTAAATATTAAACACAAAAATTTTATCTAAAAGGGGTTCACTTAGCCCTGGCCGGTTTTGCTCAGCGGTTAGAGCGTTGGCCTGCGGTCCAGAGAGACCCAGGTTCGGCTCCCGCTAAGGGCATGTACCTCGGTTGCAGTTTGTCCCCGGCCCTGGTTGATCGTGTGGGTGGCGGCCACTCGATGTGTCCCTTTCATGTCGATGTTTCTCTCCCTCTCTCTTCCTCTCTCCCCCTCCTACTCTATCTGAACAAAAAAATGGAAAAATGTCCTCGGGTGAGGATGAAAAAAATAAATAAATAAAAAGGGTTCACATAAATTTGCTATTACATCTACACATTAGCCAATACATAACATTTCTTGAGATTAATTAAACTGGTTTAAAAAATTAGTTATATCTTTTGAATGTCAAACTTGAAATAATTTAATGTGAAATTTCAATGAAGCAATAAGAGATTAGAGATTAGAGGTAAGAAGAAGTAAAAATGGCAGATAATTTAAAAAATAAAGTATATTTAGCTTTGGAATATATATTACCCTATTCAGGTGTGTAAGATGTTTTGCATTTAATAAAACTTCAAAAGTAGAAATCAGAAACTAAAAGTATGCAGTATAGCATTTTTTTCTACTTTGTTTTCAAATGCTGTTAAGATGCAATACTACCTTTCAGAAGGAAACAAAGTTCACCCTGTTATTTAACTGTTCAAAATATTTTTGCTTTATTATTGATGGTTAATTCCTAGAGAAAGAAACTAAATTTTTGGATTTGAAGGTTTCTAGTCCAGCTGGTGTGGCTCCGTGGTTGAGTGTTGACCTATGCACCAGGAGGTCACTGGTCTGATTCCCCATCAGGGTACATGCCCAGGTTGCAGGCTCAATCCCCAGTAGGTGGTGTGCAGGAGGCAGCAGATTGATGTTGATGTTTCTCTCTCATCGATGTTTCTTTCTCTCCCTCTCCCTTTCCCTTCCTCTCTCTCTAAAATATAAACAAACAAACAAATATATAAATAAAAATTAAGGTTTCTAATGTAGGTCCTAGACTGATCTAATAAGTCCAAGGAAATATATAAAAGTAAACAAGAAAGTGAGCAGATTTAGACTGTTATCTCTCAGTTTAACAGTTTAATAAGAATCTAAAAACATAATTTATTGTGGGAAATATAGTTTTCAAACAATTCAGGTATCTAATAATCAAAAGCTAAAAATATTTTTATGATTCTTTTATAAGAATCATAAAAAGATTTAATAGACAAGATTAGGAGAAATCACTTAGTTCATCCAAAAGGGACGAGTTGGTGTGACTTGACCACTGTCACACAGCTTGAGTGAGAGAAACTCATATCTCAGGTCCTGTGCATAATAAATTTTTGTTAAACTGAAGGGGAAGGATTAAAGAAGAGGTGAAGAAGAGCACACCTACTAGAGGAATTGATGACCATCTACTCTTACCATTCTAAGTGGGTCCACTGTCAAGATATCAACTATTAAATTAAGCACCTACTATATGTTGTTTTTTTTAACCCACTCTTTTACTCAGATACAACTGTAACACAAGCATGAGATGATGATTAGGATGTTCATAGGAACAGAGAGGAAGAGATGGATGAAACATAGTATAAAGGAAGAACAGGCAAAACTTGATTAGACATATGAGATATTTTCTTCAAGTATTCACTCACTTACTACCAATATTAGTTAGCAATTCAAAGTGATATATCTCTGGTAGCTCTGTAAAGTTATAAGCAGTTTTTGTGGTTACTACCTTGGTTTTAAAAAAATGGGCACTCAAAATAGGCAAAGAACTCAAATAGGCATCTCTCCAAAAATGCACAAATGGCCAATAAACACATGAAAAGATTCCCAACATCACTAATATTAAGAGCAGCACTGATATTAAGGAAATGCACATGGGAACAACAAGATACCAGTTTACAACCATTAGGATGGCTACTACAAAAAACAAACAAAAACAGAAAGTAAGTGTTGGCCAGGATGTGGAGAAACTGGAACTCTTGCACACTGCTGGTGGTACTACAGAATCATACAGTTACTATGGAAAACACTTCGGCAGTTCCTCAAAAAATTCAACATAGAATTATCATATAATTTATATAATTCACATAACTTCTGGGGATATACCCCCAAAGAACTAAAAGCAGGGGTATGAATAGATATCTGTACATCCATTTTCATAGCAGTATTATTCACAATAGCTAAAAAGTAAAAGTAACAAATGCCCATCAACAGATGAATGACTAAACAAAATGGTATATACACATACTGTATGCACATATACATACACACAATGGAGTATTACTCAATCTTGAAAAGGAAAGAAATTCTGCCCTAGCCAGGTGGCTCAGCTGGATGGAGCGTTGTCCCCTATACCAAAAGGTTTCCGCTTTGATTCCAGTCAGGGTACATACCTAGGTTGCAGGTTCGATCCCAGGTCAGGGCGTGTACAGGAGGCAACTGATTGATGTTTCTCTCACATTGTTTCTCTCTCTCAAAATCAATAAAAACATATTTTCAGTTAAGGATTAAAAAACAAAAAACAAAAAAACACAGCCCTAGCCGGTTTGGCTCAGCAGTTGGAGCGTCGGCCTGCGGTACAGAGAGACCCGGGTTCGGTTCCCGCTAAGGGCACGTACCTCGGTTGCAGTTTGTCCCTGGCCCTGGTTGGTCGTGCGGGTGGCAGCCACTCGATGTGTCCCTTCACGTCGATGTTTCTCTCTCTCTCCCCCTCCCGCTCTATCTGAACAAAAAGTGGAAAAATGTCCTCGGGTGAGGATAAAAAAAAAACAAAAAACAAAAAAAACAAGGAAATTCTGACACATGCGACAACACTGATGAACCTTGAAAATATTATGCTAAGTAAAACAAGCCAATCACAAGAGGACAAATACTATGGTTCCACTCAAATGAGGTACTTAAAGTAACCAAATTCATAATGACAGAAAATAGAATGGTGGTAAATAGGAAGTTACTGTTTAATGGGCACAAAGTTCCAGCTTTTTGTTTGTTTTTAAATGTTTTTATTGATTTTCAGAGAGAGAGGAAGAGAGAGGGAAAAAGAGATAGAATCACCAATGAGAGGGAATCATCAATCGGCTGCCTCCTGCACACACCTCCACTGGGGATTGAGCCTGAAACCCTGGCATGTGCCCTGGCCAGGAATTGAACCAGTAACCTCTTGGTGCATGGGTCAGTGCTCAACCACCATAGAACCACACTAGCGAACCAAAGTTTCAGTTTAGCAAGGTGAAAAAAGTTTTGGAGATGAATGATGGTGATTGTACAACAATGTAAATATACTTAATGCCACAGAACTGTACACTTAAAATGGTAAATTTTGTTATGTATATTTTAATACAAAAGAAATTATTCTAAAAAATGTGAACTATCATTTGATTCCTAATTAAGAACTAGCAATGACATAATTTGAAGTTCTCTTGAAGGACTTTTAAAACACTGGATTACATATAATTTTGAATAGCTGAGGGTAAGAATGTGTGTGAGGGTAGAAAGATAAATTTAGTAAAGCAGATAAGACTCAGGGAGCCTTGATGCTATGCCAAATTCTTCCCCTAAGGATAGGCAAGTCACATAATCTCACTGAGTTTCATAAAGCTAATAATACTGGCCTGTAAACTAGTAGGAAATTTCTGAATGGAAAAGAAAAATAGGAGTTAGTATGTCAGTGTTTCCATTTACTCCTTACTATAACGGAGATGACAATATTGCCAGCCACTTCACAGAAGTGTTTAGGATTATTAAGTATGCTTATCAGATACTTAGAAATCCTGTGATGAAAGGCAATGGCCAAATTTACATCCCACGTGACTCCTTTGGTGTAAATTAAAATATGTAAAATGATTTTCCCCATTCTATGCATAGGAATGAGCAACGAAGGGAGAAGAATCTCCTATATCTTCTTTGCATTCTCCCTTTTATTCAAGCCTATGCTCTTTTGTGTTCAACATTCATAAAGGTTACACAATAACTCACTATTATAGCATGGGTGAGTGGGAACATCATTCCACTACATATATAAATATGGTCACATGTGAAAGCCCTAAATAAATGATGAAACTTCTTTTATTCTTTGTGACAAAATTGGTCAATACTGTAACCAGTTATTCCACAACATGTTTATAGTGTCAAAAACTTCTTTATTAAAAGACTGACAAAGAATTATCTAAAGTATTCTTACAGAGGCAAAAGAGGTATATTTGGGGAAGATGACCCCAGAAGATAAACAAGGTGAGGTGTTCTTTTGGTTGAATAAAATGAGAAATGCCATAAAATTATTTCACTCCTAAATGGGTACTATAAAAAAATGAATGTTATTAAAATATTCATTACTATTATCTTCTGCATAAACATATAAACGTGTGTATCATCACACCTATACACATATTAAAAAGTCCTTTAAAAGAGTCTATTGAAAGGAGCCAAAAAGGCATATCAGAATTAAATATGGCAGAAAGATATTTTATATATTTTCTTGTATGCATTATATTTTACAACATAAAAGTTAATAATAATAAACTAACATTGATGCTACCCTTCCCTTGAAATTCATGTCTAAGAAGTTTTCCCTGGAAATGTCTAGTTTGCAGTAAGGATCTTTCCATTCTTTACCTATAGCACTTACACATGTTTCTCTCACTAAACTTACCATGTTGTAATAGTCTATTTATTTAGTTTGTCTTTCCTCCCCAGACTAAGATATTTATATCATCAGCATCTTGTCTGTTAACTGGTAGGTTATGAGTTTTAAAAATGCCTGTTTACCTCTCTCTCACACTAAAGTTAAAGCTCCTGAAGAGGTACAGTACTGTTAACATTTGAATCCCGAAGGCCTGACACAGTGATTGGTACAAAGTTGTTAATGATTTAATTATATTTATTTTTATTTTAAAACCTGTCTCAAATCCAAAAATATATTTATTCCTTTAATTTTTATGATCCTCCAATTCTATTTAAGGTAGTTTAAATGCAGGTTCCCAAAAGATGTTATATTAACACAGTCTTATCTCTAAAATAGTCTCTTACGCCCTGGCCAGTATGGCTTTGTGGTTAGAGCCAGGGCCAAACCAAAATATTATAAATGTCTCTATCTAACAGTGAAAACCTAGGGGGACATCTGTAATATTTTCAACAATAAAAATAAATTTAAATAAAAAAAACGAAAAAGACAACCTAGCTCCCATGATCTTCAATACACTTATTTACTCAAGCCTAGAATACACAGAAACTAGTTTCACAAATGCTAACCCATATCTCTATGCAAAACAAATCTATTCACTAAAATTCAGTATTCAACCCTGGCCGAGTGACTCAGTTGGTTTGAGCATCATCCCATATACCAAAAGGTTGCAGGTTTGATTCCTAGTCAGGGCATATACCTAGCTTTTGGTTTCCAGCCCTGGTCAGGGCGCATACAGGAGGCAGTCAATTAATGTTTCTCTCTCTTTCACTCTAAAATCAATAAAAAAAAAAAAACACCACATCCTCCAGTGAGGATTAAAAAAAAAGATTCATTATTTGCCTAGTATTCTTAAAATGTGAAATGTATATACAGTTATTCTACTGTGTTTTAAATAGTATCTCAACATAGTTTTAATTTTCATTTCTCTGATGTCTAACAAAATGCTTATTTGCCATACATATAACTTTTTTTAGGTATTGGTTCAAGTCTTTGAGCCATTATTTTAATACGGTTTTTGTCCTTTTACTGTTGAGTTGTAAGAATTCTTCATATATATATTCCAAATATAGATCCTATGTCAGATATATGTCCTGTGATGTCAACCTCAACTTTAAGGTCATGTACTTATTGCAGACTCTAACAGGTACCTGTTAAATGCCAGAAAAACAGTTGTCCAAAAAGTCCCACTTTTAATAGTGTTTTTGGTTCCCCACTACCTATAACAGAACAGGATCATAGTTCAGGAAGTTCCAACACTTACTAAGCAAATACTCACCAGTTTCCAATGTATTCCTACTTAGCAGGAATTTTGCTACATTATCCTTGCAGTGTCATAAAAGTGCTAACTGAGTTTTTTAATAGTACGGCAGTAGGAAGACAAGTCTTCTTGTTTAATTCTGGGGAAGGAAAAACCTCTTCAAGAGTCCTAACTTTTAATAATATAAGTGAAACACATTTATTGATACTTACATGTAGGACACCTTATTAAGTGCTGAGTTTCATTATCTGGGAATTAGAGATAACAGCAGCCCCTACCTCCTAAAGTCCTTTTTTAGAATTCAATGAGAAAATGTAGGTAAAATCTGTACCAGATCATACAGATTCAATAAGTGTAGGTTATTATTATTATTTTTGTATCCTTACCCGAGGACATGTTTCCCAAAGTGGGAGGGAGAGAGAAACATCCACGTGAAAGAGACACATCCAGTGGCTGCCACCCGCACCACCCAACCAGGGCCGGGGACAAACTGCAACCGAGGTGCGTGGCCTTAGCGGGAACCGAACCCGGGACTCTCTGGACCGCGGGCCGACGCTCTAACCACTGAGCAACCGGCCAGGGATAGGTTATTATTTCTTTACATCTTTCCACTTTCATGTCAATTCCTATTTGATACAAATATTTCCCCCGCTGTGTTACTTTGCATTTGACTCAAACCTGGAAATAACGGAGTAATAAGTTACTCTAGAAATGCACCGGAAGGGGTACCTGAGTCAACCTGGAGACGACAAGGGACAGCCAGAGAGTTTCATGTGTTAGATATTAATCCCTCCACCCCAAAGAAAAACTACTGAACTTTAAAAAGTTTCTACAGAGCAGTAATAGGAAACGGAGGCTAGAATCGGCTATGCTTCCTCGTTTTGAGTTGGTTCTTGAGTGGTCCCACAAGTTTACACGAACTCCCCACACTAATGTAGGCACTAACGGGCGTTATCAAATTATATGGTGTGTTTCTATCTACTCTGTCCCATTCTCGGTATGTTATCCGTATTTGAAATTATTTCAAGCACTAAAAATACATCCCTAAATACAGCCCACAGCCTACAAAATCAGCCCAAAGCCTTGGAGAATCAGAATTCAAGTGGACAAAGGCTACCGGGTAACTGCGGCTGGAAGGTGAGCCGAGGTGGGTTGAGGGCACCAAGCCAGCACCGGGAACTGTCGACAGAGACAAGTTTACACTCAGAAAAGTAGAAAAACAAAAGGTTATCGGGCCACATACTATTTACTCTTCTTGCTCTCAGCGGGGCCCGACAAACAGCAATACCTGGGGAGGAGATACCTACGGCATTTCCACATTCAGGGAAGGACCACGGCCGCCGGATAAAACGAACCGTGCAACCTCTTCCGAAAACACAGAACCTCCCGAAGAAAACAGAAGCCTGAAAAGCGCGGGCGAGCAGGCGCTCGACCCTGGGTCACACTCAACGTGGCCCGCCGGAAACACCGTCTCCGCGACAACGGATCCGAGTGCCTGCGGGGAAAGGAGGAAGGGACTGTCCATCCAGAACCGCATCCAGTCTCTTGCAGTGCCGCACAGGTCTCCCTTACTCACGATTCGGGCCATAACAGCCCCGGATAGAGGAGCAACAGGACAGTCTCTGATCACTGTGGATTAACGATCTGTAGATTTCTAGCCGGACCGTTTGGGGAGGTGCTCTGTATCTTACTTCCGGTGGCAGAGAGGTGCAGTTGCCATGGTAATTAAAGAAAGGCCTTGGTCCGTCCGGCTTCGGTGAGCCGAGTGTGGAACCCGTGCAGAGAACTGGCTGCGCTTCCTGGTCTGGAAACTGCAATTAGGTAGCGATCAGCTCGCTGTCTCTCTTTGCGGTTGTGTCCCTTGCTATTCGGCTTTTCTCCCACCTGCTTCTTTTACTTCTCTGTCATACCAACACTTGGTCCATGTCGGTACCTGAAATGTACATATAAATGCAGTTTAATGCTCGGAGGAATACAAACAGAGAGATGTTGCCTGAGATCAGCTGTGAACATACTTCACAGTGCAGAGACGGTGTGGCTGGCTCTGTTTTCACTTGGCCCTTTAAAAGCCCTAGGCGCTTGTTAGTTTATTTTTCTTGCTATTGTGTGGCTGGTTATTTATGGAGCCGTTTGCTGCAGTGTACTCTCTAGGCCCCTGTCTGAGTCTGGGGCTGGAGTTTTAAATGAAGGAGGTTTCCAAGCCTGAGGGGGCACAATTATATATTTATTTAAGCTTAGTTTAGTCTCTGCTCCCAGAAAGGGAAAGAATAGAATTCTGGAACATTTCTGTCGTGGGATTTGCACGTGAGGGAGTCATCTTATTTGGAAAGAGTATTCGAGGACAATCCAAAAAAACAAAAACCACCTTACATTTTTAAAATTTCTTGCTGCAAAACGAACATTCTCTCTTCCTTATTGGAACGGGTTTCTTTCACGTTTTTGAGGAGATGCGTGCACGCATATGTGTTTAAAACTCTGATGCTTAATTATAGTGATACCAATTTGCAGTAACCAGACTGTGACACCACATCCCTATGGGGTCCTTCTAAATCTGGTGTAATATGAAAGTGTCAGGCAGGCGGTCTGTGTATTATAAATAGGGTACTTCATCCATGATAAGCGATTATTATCTTTCTTTCCCAAGTGTAAAAGACCTATATAATTCAAGAAGGTGCAAGTGATTTAGGCCTCTTGAGTAAGAATCCAATGAGTCCTGAAGGGGACCCTACCTGTGTCGTCTTATTGTTGAACTTGAAATATTCAATTTATTAGGCTGGAATGTATTTTTAAAAGTCAAAGCTGGGTAAAATAATGTTGGAAGCTGTTAGACCACCAGCACAATTTAGTGCCTTATAGTAACTATTGTACAAGAAGCCTTCATTCACATTAATAAAGAAACTGTTACCATAATTAACTGACTTTTGCTACTTACTATTAAATTGGTGATGATGTGTCCCTCAATTTCCTTATCTGTAAAATGGACCAAAAATACCTGACCACTGTAGTAGGGATAAATTATGAACTATAACTGTTCTTTAAGCTCTTATGAGCAGAGGTGCTATATAAACCCAAAACATTATTATTAGTAATGGAACACAGTAAAATCTCATGATAACACTATAAGTGGGATTTTAAAAATCCAGTCATTTAAAATGTGGGGCTGCATTTTTGAGATGTTACTGAAATGACCTGCTTGATCCTGCTGTGGAGATGGATGCCAACTGCCAATCACATTATATCCACATTCTTATTACTGTGGCATTTCACTCTGTCTACAGTATTTACACTTAATTTGTGCCAAGCACTGTTCTGTATGCTTCACATATATTAACTATTTAATCCTCATGACAGTGCTATATAGAGTCTCAATTGACTGTCCTGTTATTTTGAGAGAGTAGATGTGGGTTTTTCCTTTGCTATGATTCTTCTTTTGTACTTACGTTACATCTTTGTTTTGGCTTCGTTCTTTTGGTATATACATATATTAATAAAGGAGAAACTGTTTATATATATTTATATTTAGAAAGCCACTGCCAAGAGGCATGTTCAAGTTTAACATACAATACAACCTTATGCGTATTAAAATATTTATTGTTTTTCCCTACAACGGAAAACTTTAATGTTTTGATCCCTCTGTGCCCACCCTCCCGCCCCCCACCCCCAGCATTTGAAAGACAAGGTGACATTTGCATCTTATAGGGATTAACATCGACTAAAACAATTTTTTAAATTATTTTCTAATAGGATGGCCATCAGTCCAGGAAGTGATGCAGGCTTCTCCAGTCAGAAATCAACACTTTCTGAGAGTCCTCGAACAAAGAAATCTATACTAACTGAAGAAGAGACATTTTATATGAACTGCAGAGCTGCCTACTTAACTGTTTTCAAAAGCAGCTTAGAAAACATTATTTCTAAAGATCAACTTTACTTAGGTAAAAAAATAAATTCTGCCTTATTTGTTGACAGTTAATAATAGATCAGAAAGACTAGAATTACAATTACATTGTCAAATCATCCCAATTTTAGTGGTATGAGCAGTGGAGCTACTACATTATGCTATTGTGCCATTTTGTATAGTTACATATTGAAGCATTTGCAAAATAAAAATTTCAGTTTTTGTACAGTATAGAATAGTATTTTGAACCTTCTATCAACTACTTAAATATTTTAATTCTCATTTTGGTACTTTTAAGAATTACAATAGAATTAAAACACTTTTGACATCTGAATCACTACTCTGAATTTGACCTATATTAAGAAAAATGTAAAGGACACATAAAAATGGGGTGAATGGTTATAAGTCAGAAGTATTAGGAAATAAGTGAAATTTTAAAAGAATTAAGAGTTATGGGTTTGGTTTTGTGTTGGGGGGTGGTGGTTGGTCTTTTTCGCTTCTCTTCATTATATTTTGAATTCCTCTGGTTGCAAATATCCCCCCAAACAATGAATTTGGTCCTTGCTAGGAGCATCAAATGACTTGGAGGTCTTTGGTCTTAAGAGAGTGGTATACAACAACACTGAACACACATTATTTTCATCAAGACTAATGGTTTTATGAGTAGAAAAACTGAGTTATTTTGCCAACTTTAGAAGCAGTTTCCTTGAAAAAAAAATCTGACATAGTTTTGCAACATTTTGGATTTGTATGCAGTAAGATCTCTATTTGAGGAAATCCATTTTGGGGAATATAAAATACCTTATGTTTTACTATAAATTATAATTTTAGTTTTTTTTCTCTTTATTCTTTTGAATATAGACCAAGATCACAAAAGTTTAAAAGTTTAACATGCCTTCTGCTACTATGGCATTTAAGTTATGAATCAATTCGTATGTATTACTAAGGTGCTATCAGTCTTATAGAATTATCTGGGAGGATAATAATGCAGAGTTTGTCTTTTCAGTGCTATATACACTTTTGATTTTATGGTGGAATACTCTTTGTAACATTGTAATGACTGATTTCACATGATCTAGGTTTTTAAAAAGTGGTAGGGTGAACCACTGATGTCTCTTTCTTACTATGTCTTTCATCTATATCCTCCTGCCACTGCTGTATATAATGTATGTTTTTTAAAATTTTTATTTACTTATTTGTTAAGCATCACCGAGGATTATATTTTCTCCATTGATTTTTTAGAGAGAGTGGGAGGGAAAGGGGGAGAGAGAGAGATTGTGAGAGAGACACATCGATTGGTTGCCTCCCACACACACCCCAATGGGGATCAGGGATCGAACCTGCAACCCATGTATATGCCCTTTACCAGGATCAAACCCAAGACCCTTTGGTGCATGGGCCAATGCTCTAGCCACTGAGCCACACCAGCCAGAGCATATAATGTGTTTTGACATTCCATTTCAAGGTCAGGTAGAGTAGTACAAGTACCAGAACTTTTGAATTTCTTTTTTCCCCATTTTATAAATAATATAGATATTATAGACTCATGTTAAAGATTAAAGGAAACTCTGGTAAAAGATCAGTGTCATGGTGTAAACCTTTAAACATCTGCAGTTACATAATGTTTTTACTGTTATCAGACTTAATAGGCTCCAACTGATTCTTATGATGTCGATTACTAGAGGTTAAAGTTAGGTTAGAAGTTACTAAATTATATCTATTTCTTAAATATGGGAACATCTACTTACTGAGTACATGTTTTGGGTGCAATGAATTTTATTCTGAGAAAGTTGTTCTGTAATTAACAGTATCTTTTAAAATATTTTGTCAATTGAAGATAGCAACAAGCATATGCTGAACTAGTATTTGTGGGAGTTTTCAAAACTGAGTGAAATACCATTTTCTTTTACATGGGCTTTGACTTCAAATCACAACTTCATCTAGATCCTACTTGTATTCCCAGCTTTTAAAGGGTAAAGGTTGGCTGGGGATGGAATGCTAAAACATTTTTCTTTATTCTCTTGATTGATGAATTAAGGAAATGTCCATTTATAAACTAGGCAAAATACTTATCTTTATTCCTAGGGCAGCATGGTAATCAGGGTTTTTGTCTACATCCAGAATAAACCTGTAGAAATAAAAACATTATATTATCTCCCCAGAGGCTTTCTAGGTTAATGGAAGATGTTGATTACTACAACTATACCTTTTGTTAGCTCTGAAAGTCACCTCTAGATGATGATCTTGTTTATGTTTCTGTGCCAAAGTTTTATCTAGGAATGATGCACTGGCATAATCTGGAGGTTGGGAACATTTCTCTTGGTCTGTGGGCTTCTAATATGTTACGAACCGTAAATCATGGCCACAGGTAGCAATTTTATACTTCAGGTGAGGACTTTCTATTTAGATTATAAAATTTAGGAGCCGAGAAGCTTGTATCTGTGAGAAAAAAAATCACCCTTTATTATGCCTGTGCACAGTGAATGTTCAATATAATGGACTCACAGATGTCTCTATATATTACCCTGATCTGATTC